AAAAAAAAAAAAAAAAAAAAAAAAAAAAGACTCGGTTAATGTAAGTTATTCTTGAATCTGATAACTACAAAAGTTTATCATATGTTTTTTGTTCTATGAATTTTGATGAATCACAGTAGATTCAAACAATTTAAATTATATGATTAAATGCAAAATTTAAGTAAAATAAATACGAACACAAATTTCAGTTGGTATATTTTAGTTATACAAATGAATCGCTTCATTCAAAAATGGTCCAAGTCAATATTTGATTAAAAACGTGATTATTACAGATTCTTTGTCGCTTTACTTAGACATTTTCGTTAAAGGCCTTTAGTTCGTGGCTAAAGCCCATTTAACATAAAATAATAGTTTAGCATATATTGGTGTGTGCACTTCACTCGTACTATATACACATTCTATTTATTCAAAATTTATACATATATTAGTTAATATGAGCATTTTAAACATAATGCATTTCATTAAAATGAACTAAAAATAAACTTCGTGAAAATTTAAAACCCTGTTGATAACATATGGACATTCATTTATTCTTATTTGTAATTTACAGATTCTTTTGATGAAAGAACATCTTTAGTGCTAGCTAATGCAATACATTTTAAATCAGACTGGTTATATGAATTTAAGAGCGTTAAAAAAGAATCATTTTATTTAACCACAACTGAAATATTTAACGTACAAATGATGAGGCTGTATAAGAAATTGCAATACTATCACGACAGTGAAATTAATTATTCAATGCTTATGTTACCTTACAAAGTGTTAATTTAAATTTTTTAAGTTTAGCGTAATGAACATCATTTGAAAATATTTTTTCAGAATGAAAAATTTAAAATGATTATTTTACTACCTGATGCTAAGGACGGATTACATAACTTAGAAAATAATTTATCAAAAATAAAGCTTAGAGAAATTATACCTATGACAACATATCCTAATGTAAACGTTAAACTGCCCAAATTCAAGTTTGAACAATCAATCGACCTACAAATTGTATTAAAACAAGTAAATTTTAAACACAAATTTATTCTATTAAAAATTATTTTTAATTATATTTTTTTATTATTAAAATTATTTATAAATTCAAATACAAAGTGTTTAATAAGTAAGGAAACGGGTCAATTGTTACAAAAGGTGAGAACAAAAGATACTCGTTTCTTAATTATTAAACACCTACATATAACTCAATACACAAAGGTCCTAAATAGCAAATTTGTTCTGTCAAAGCGTAATGAATCCTCTACAACATACAGTTTTTTGTAAATATAAGCTGATTGTAGATACTAAAAAAATAATTTTGTTTTATTTATTACAGCTTGGTTGCTCATCAATGTTTACTCGTACAGCGAATTTTTCTAGAATATCTGAATTTCCTGAAGACCATATGTATGTTAGTGAAGTATTACATAAAGCCTATGTCGAAGTTAACGAGAAAGGAACTGAAGCCGCAGCTGCAACAGGTAATGCATTATACAAATTCGCAATATGTTAGATAGAATTTGTATGGGTATTATGCAGATGAATACGTTTTTATCGAATTATTTTGTAACTTCCTTATTTTTTTTAATTAGCTTGTATGTTATTTATTATATTTAATTTATATAATTAAAATGTTTAGGTATATTCATAAATACATTAAAAAGTGGACCTAGAGAACAAGAAGTAAACTTTCATGCGGATCACCCTTTTATTTTCATAATAATGAATGATAATAATAATGTTTTATTTGTTGGAAGAGTAAAAAAACCAATTATAAATGAATAAAATACGTTTCGAAAATTGTAATTAAATATTTTGTTAATAAACATTTGTATGTTGTATTATCACCATAGGCGTAAATCGGAAAGAGGATTCCCCTATGCCCTCTCTCTGATCCTCTGCCCCCAAAAATTGAAAAAATTATATGTATTTTTATAAATAAAAAAAATTAGTATGAGAAAAAATATCAATTTATCCCCTCGAATATTTTACGTAAATTTACTTTACGCCTATGATTGACTGACACCACATACTGAAATGTTTATTTTTTAATATTTTGTCAATTCAAATATATAGTCCATATTTTTATTATGTATACAAAAATAAATATTTTGTACCAAATAAAACTTTTTTATCACAGTAAAAATTTTCTTATAGTTCATCTTTTATTAATGAATAAAACTTATATTATTACATGAATATTCGTAAAGAGCCAATCCATATCAAATCATCCAGAGTGATTGCTCTTTTTTTAAATTGCGTGATTTTTCTTACATCATATTAACATTATTCAATATTATAATTTAATTATGTTTTTAAGTTTTTTTGTACCTTGGCTTTTTTTTAGTAGTAAGTATAAAAATGTTCAAATTTCGAAAATAACGATTTTTAGGCAACTGAGTTTTTCTCCTGTGGGACTGAAATTTAAATCATAAAATATTCACACACTATTGTTACACATTTTAACTTTCTATGGTAAAAATTTTAACTTTGATATTATGGCATTTTTCTTTTAAATATTTCCCTATTGAAAAATTCATTAATCAAAATATAATAAATATATACACCCAAAGAAAAACGTCAATCAATTTTGATAGATAAATTTTATCAAGGGTTTATGATAATGTTTTATTAATACGAACATAATAATTATTCTTATGAATAATTATTGTTCAATACAAGAAAAAAAATTATCATATTGATAAATATATCATAGATTCAATAGTAATGATATATTTATCAAATTGAACAATGAATTTATTATATAGATCGAGGTTTTTCTCTGGGTGTAGTTACATCTAAACAATTCTAAAGATAATATGTACAAATAAAGAGTTATATATTTAACAATGATAAATCCGCCGTATTAAATTAAAATTTTAATGAGACAAACTAAACATGATAATATACGTTATATTTTGCTTGCAAGTTAAAACTATTCGTTATGTATATTACTAGCCTTTTAGAGAGGAAACTAATAGTGAGCCATAAAAGAAAAACTAAATAAATCAATAACACATCTAAATATAAACATTTATAACTACATATTTCTGTTTGTGTCATTTACCGCGATTAGATAAAGTATATCATCACGGATTACATTGTGATGAAAAATTTATATTATCGCAACTAAATTGCATAATACATCCCATATGTCATAAATTTTACAACAATGAACTATACTTTTAAACCAATTTAATTACTAATAAAATCTCTGTCATAAAAATGATAAAACATTGAGTTTTTGTAATAATTTACAACATAATAAATTTAAAAAAAAGAATTTTTGAAAGCTAATTTTATATCGGTTTCGGTAAAATGCCAAAGATGAAATCTTTTCCATAGAAATTCTACATATGTAACAATATCGTGTGAATTTTCTATGAAAGTATTAAAAAACAATTAATGTTGCCCAAAAATCGTTATTTTCGAGTATTGAACTTTTTTATACTTGTGCTATTAAAAAAAGGACAAAGTACAAAAAAACTTTAAAACATAATTAAATTATAATATTGAATAATGTTAATATGATGTTATTGAAAAAAATTGTATGCCATTATTAATTTAATTTTAAAAATGTCGTTTTTTTACAAAAACAAAACCTTCCCCAAAATTACTTAAAAATACTATTGTTAATTATTGGACATGTTAGAAGACTTCATGATGAAAAAATGATGAAATGTTCAAGTCTTAAGTAATAATACGTAGTTTTCAAGGATACTTTTAAGAAATACGGGTATTTTGCAATTTCAAAATTTTGACAGATCATAAATCAATGGCCCTGGCGCCTACCGGCCTTTCTGTAATAAACCAAAAATAAAAAGAAAGAAAAGAAATAAATTTGATAGTATTATAAGTAAATAATTAAATAATATATAAATAAATAAATGGTTATAATTATATAATATAAATTATGTGATTTTTATTATTAAATTATAATTAAAATTAAATGTCTCGTCTATAATATTTATTATATGATTTACACATTAATTGTTTCTCTTACTAATTATTAATTTTACTATTTAATTTGTATTAATAGTTTATTACGCAATAAATTGTTGGAGATTCCAATTGAATTAGATTAAATTGTACTTACCTTACGTCCTGTGTAATGCAATAATATTTCAAATAATCCAATGTCGATTTTGGTATTAAATGCACTACATATACGATTTACACTATACGTCATATAGCCCATATAATTACTTACAAAAACTAATCAAAATTTTAAATAATAAGATTTAATTACACAAATTCTACGACTGATCTTACTTGTAAATGATTCTAAACACTCTATATGTTATTATAAATATAATTTTAATTCTTTTACTTATTGACATTTTTTACGTCTGTTAAACAAGTACTTTTTTTAGAGAATATATTTTATTGAGCGATCGACACCAATATTTCTTAAATTTTCCTCTGGCCGGGCCAAAACAAAATTCAGAAATATTTATATCTATGTAAAAAATTTACCAAGGCGAAATTGTGGTGGCCCAATGTGTCCCGGCGCTAGATAGCACCTCGAAAGGATGCGGCACAATAATCACCAAGACAAAAATTAAACATTGCAAATATACTCGTAAGTTTCTCTGCGTTGTTTGCCGGCGCAATGTTTGTAAAAACAAAGACATTAGCAACGAGACTAGCTACCTAATAAGAAAAGCTTACAATAGATTTTTGTTATTAAATAAAATTTAGAGCTGGGTTTGATTTATTATTAAAATAAAATAATTTAAAAAATATAATATTTAAAATATTATTTGATATTTATTTCCACAACAATAAAAATAAGACATTATTATTTAATAAACAAATTAATCAATTCAAAAGATTTACCAAAACAAAATTCACTTTAAAATTTTTAAGTGTTATTTATTTTTTTTTAAAAAAATATTCTAAGTTCAAATCAATTAAAAAATTGACTAAGTCCCGGAGAGTGAAATCTTGAGTAGAGTGTCGTAGATTTTGTGTCTTTAAAAATCGCCGAATCAACTGGTTTAGACGGGGAAAAATGGCTTTTTATAGTCTGAAGGGGGTAACCCAGCGATCTCTACCGTGATCCTGGAAGCTGAGGTTTTCTATTCTAATTGGTTAATTGTAATGAGGGCCCCGTGTGTAGGCGTTACTTAATAATTTCTACAAGAGGGAGATTTTTTCGCATTATTAAATGGTTATTTTGTATTTTAAATAAGAGAACAATGTTTTGGTGATCTTGTATAATCTATAATATGTGACATACATGTACAAATGATAACATCATATTATATGGTAATATTATAAGTAAAAATATAATATTACATTTCCCAGTGGGAGATACACTGGAGGTCGCGTATAACATAATACGAAGTGGCTTGGATAGTAGCGGCGGCCTTATCAGAGTGCCCGAGGTTAGTGCAAACCAAAAACGAACGGTATGGATGATTTGGTTGTCCGGTGCTGGTGTTCCGTTTGAAGACACGGTGACCGTGGACCGACTTGTCGCTGCTCGCTCACTGACACTTCCATGCCCGGCAAATATCACCTAACTGATAACGGTTGTAGGTGAATCTCTTCGGAGTAAAACCCACATAGACAATAAAGATTATAAATCTATTTTAATCTGAAATTATTTTTTGAACATTTTTTTTATTTAAATATTAAGCAACTCATGCGTGAAATTTCAAAAAAATTTTAAATGGTCGCGCGACCACTTTAGATGATTTGATATAAATTGACCCTACGTAGGCGAATCTGATAAAGACTTGTGTGAGACTTTTACTTCCCTCCGTTGATCCAAAAATTAAATAAATTATGGTATACTAACATTTTTTAGTAACATGAAAATTAAATTCTTTTTAATATCTCTAAAGTTCTTTTCGAATTGAATAACCGTACAGTAAAAAATATACATAGAAATAAATAATATTGCATATAATATTAACGTGTATAATTGTAGGCACAAGTTTTTGATAAAATAAAATAACATGAGTGCCATGTTATGTACAAGCATAGTCGCATGTAGTGTTTAGAACTGGGATGCTCAAGTTCCAAAGGTAAAAAAACTTTTCTCAGCTTTATTATTATTTATTCATAAATATGCAATTACATACAACAATTTTTTTCCTAATGCTATGGTATTTTAACTACATTTTTTAAACCAAAACATATAATTAAATTTAAAATGAAATACTACACCGATGACATTGTATACTAACAATATAATATTATTGAACAATTAAATATAATTATTGCAGTAATTATTTATGCGATTAGGTATTATTTTATTTTTCATTAAAATTTTTTTAATTAATTGTGAAATCTACTTGGAGGTATAACTATTAATTAATTTATATTAAATTAAAATAATTGTAAATCCATGTTTTAATGCAGGTCTGCGCAGTTACGTAGACGTGTTTATTAAATATTAAAGTCATGTTACCACCTGACCTTAATATTAAATAAATATGATATGATTTCGTCGTAGAACATTGGTAATTTAATTAATAATAAAAAACCAGCACAGTGGAGTCGCGGCATAGTGGGGATGTTGCATAGTTGGGTCCAGTATAGATTTAATCTGACAGTGATTAAAATCACTATCATAAGAAACGCTTCGATGCAAATCAGTAGATAGTGTTTAATTCTAAGAAATTGGTGGATAATTACAAAAGCTACATTATCTGCTAGTTTCTTATTAATACCCTGATTAAGATAAAGTATGTCGAATGAAAAAGGGATTATTAAAAAATATTATTTCTCATAAAAAAATTGTGTTGATTCGTACACTTTTCAATGAGTTATAGCATTATAAAGTTAAAAATGTAACCAACCCAACCCAACATCAACTCCTATTTCCTTAATTATATCCAGATTAGTAATTATTTTAATTATATATTATATAATTTTTATAATTAATTATTTTCAAATTATTATTGATTTTTAATATGTTAAAAGTAATCATTTTGAACCTACTTCTTTTTGTTCTTTAAAGTGAAAGTTTTAATAAAAAAAAAATGAATTTATTACCATAACTTTTAACTCAACTTGCAAGTTTGAAATAAATATTATTAAATAGAAAAAAATGAAATTGGTAGATTATTTCAAAAACAACAATAACACTTATTCCCTTAATTTTACCCCGATTTATAACTATAATATATGAATA